AGAGTACCGAAGGATTTAAGAACTGAGCTATCAGGCTGGTCTAGTTCCAAGGCCAGACTAGATCAGAACAGTACTGCAAAGCCTTCAAAACTGAACTGATGTGTAACCACATCTGGAGAAGGCAGATAGGAACTTGCAGCCTCAGCCTAGTAGGGCTGATTGCCTGCTACAGAAAACAAGAAATCAGTATGCAAAATAGCATTTAAGCAAGACTTGTTTTCATGGCATAATATTCTTTTTTTTTTGGGGGGTCCGGTCGTGGGGCCTGAACTCTGGGCCTGGGCACTGTCCCTCAGCTCTTCAGCTCAAGGCTAGTGCTCTACCACTTGAGCCACAGCGCCACTTCCGGCTTTTTTCTTTTTGCTTATGTGGTGCTGAGGAATCGAACCCAGGGCCTCAGGCATGCAAGGCAAGCGCTCTACCACTGAGCCACCTTCCCAGCCCCTCATGGCATAATATTCTTAATGTCCAAAACACTTGATATTCAAAGGTCAAAAAAAAAAGACCTGTGAAAGGGAAAAGAAAAAGAAAATAAAGAATTAACAGTTCCAAGATGACAGTATTGTTAAAAACGGACACATTGAAATAGTCATAATCATACTCTAAGAAGCAGGGACAAACCTCTTGGCAATTAATAGAAAAACTGATCATCTTGAGAGAAAGAATACATATAAAGAACGGAATCAAACTTTTACAAATAAAAATACACATAATAAAAGTAACAAACTCAACTGGGACATTGATGGACTCAATTAAAGTATGACAGAATGACTATGACAGAGAAAAGCATAAAAATTGATATATAAGTTGTCTAATTCTACAAATAGAAGGAAATTGATTGGAAAAAAACATAAGTAGGTCCTCAGGAACCTGTGGCTCAATACCAAGAGGTCTAGTGTTCTTGCCATCAGTCTTGGAAGGAGGGAAGAGCAGTGTAGTGCAAAAAAAAAAAAAAAAGAAGAATTAAAATCTCTCCAATTTTGGTGAAAGATATAAAACTACAGACCCAAGAAATGAAAGAGAACACCAAATGAAAAGAAATTTATAGTCTGCTTATCACAACCAAACAACTAAAACTAAAGGTAACTGGGCACTGGTGGCTCACTCCTGTAATCCTAGCTACTCAGGAGGCTGAGATCTAAAGACCATAGTTCAAAGACAGCCCACACAGAAAAGTCTGTGAGACCTTTATCTTCAATAAAGCCAGTAATGGCGCTGTGGCTCAAGTGGTAGAGTGCCAGCCTTGAGCAAAAGAAGCTCAGGGACAGTGCCCAGGCCCAAATTTCAAGTCCTAGGACAGGCTAATTAATTAATTAATTAAGTCAGGTAATGAGAAAACCTTGAGAAAGAGAGGCCAAAGGTGTGGCTCAAGTGGTAAAGTGCAACCACAAAGCCCAGAGCTCAAACTCAGGACCACAAAAAAGAAAGAAGAAAGGAAGGAACCAGGAGAAAAAAAAAATATTGAAGAAAAGGAAAAAGAATTTGAATGACGACAGATTTCTTATCAGAAATTATACAATAGAATGACATTTTTAAGTGCTGAAAGAAAAAAATAACCTGTTAACCTAGGAGACTCTTGGTCTCTGTCTCTGTCTCTCTCTGTCTCTCTCTCTCTCTCTCTCTCTCTCTCTCACACACACACACACACACACACACACACACACCTTTTGAGAATGAAGATAAATTAAAACACTTTTTCTGATGCCAGTCTTGGGGCTTGAACTCGGGGCTTGGGCACTATCTCTGAGCTCTTATGCTTGAACCACAGCTCCACTTTCAGCTTTTTTGGTTAGTTAATTGGGGGTAAGAGTCTCACAGACTTTCCTGCCTAAGCTGGCTTCGGACCACAATCATGGAGATCTCAGCCTCCTAAGTAGCTAGGATTACAGACTTGAGCCACCTGCTCTTTTAAGACATTTTTAAAAAGAAGAAAACTGGGGCTGGGAAGGTGGCTCAGTGGTAGAGTGCTTGCCTCACATGCATGAGGCCCTTGGTTCGATTCCCCAGCACCACCTAAGCAGAAAAAGCCAGAAGTGGTGCTGTGGCTCAAGTGGTAGAGTGCTAGCCTTGAGCTGAAGAGCTGAGGGACAGCGCCCAGGCCCAGAGTTCAGGCCCCACAATTGACAAAATTAAAAATTAAAAAAGAAACAAAAAGAAAACTGAGGAAAAGCACAACATACTCTAAAAGAATAAAGGAAGATGAATCAAAATGTAGCAACAAAAAAGTCTGAACACCCAAAAGAATGCAGGAAAGGAAAACCAGGAGAATGAAATACAAAGAAAACATATACAAAACAAAAATACAATTGTAGACATAAATTTAAAAATATTCACACTTACATTAAATATAGGTAGCCTAAAACTCAATTAAAGGCAGCATATTTCCATACCATATCATAGCCATAAAAGTATTCTAAGTGATAGTGGTAAGCAAAAAGTGAAAGATCTGGTTATGGTTGTTACCTGTAATCCTAGCATTAAGGAAGTCAAGGCAAGAAAACTGAGAATTCAAGACCAGTGTGGGCTACCTAATATTTCAAGACAATGTCCATTTTCCCAAAAGTAAAAGAATAGAAACATATATGCCAGGCAAACACAAGTATAAAAAAGTCAATTCTAAATAACTGTAATTTGTATACATTATCAGTGGAAACAGAAATGGCTCAACCATTTTGGAAAACAACTTGATATTATCTGCTAAAATGACAAATATTTCATGACCCATAATTCTACTCCTAATAAAGTAATAATAGAAAGGCATACATAGATATACCAGTAGACATATTCTACAATGTTTATAGCAGTGTGCCAATAGCCCAAATTAAAAGAACTCAACACTATCCAAAAACAGTAGAAGAGATAAAATTCAGTATATTTATACAATGGAATCCTATTCAGGGGTGAAGGCAAATACAAAGGAATATATTCAAATACAAACAAATCCCCCATTTGTAGGGGTTAGATGGCAGGAGAACAGTGGTTTGGAGAGGGGAGAGGGAGAAATAATTGAGCTTAGCCTGGTCCTCTCCCAGGCTAGGCGATGATTTCATGATCTATATGCTTTGTGCGCATTTTCTCTAAGCATATCATATATTAATAAAGCACATGGTAGAATCCTTGCATGTCAAACATGAGGCCCTGAGTTTGATCCCTTCCACTTGGAAAATATTTTAGCACATTTTTACAGAAATAGGAAATGTGAACAGAAAAGGTCCTGGACCTGTTGTAAAAAGAAAAGGAAGCCAGAAAAGAAATGCCTTCAGGATTCAAATTAGATAAACAAGTACTTAGTAAGAATTCTTCCCAGAAGGCTCTTAGATGTACAACCTCATTTAATCCTCTTCATCTAACAAATGAGAAAAACACAACTACTGATAACAGTAATCAACAGGACCCAGTATTGTGTGTGTGGTTTTTCAGGGTTAAGTTATTTAATCCTTAGTCCCAATAGGTTCATTGTGGAAGGCATTCCCTACCGCCTCACATCTGGCTTTTGACCTTGTGTCCAAGTGCATTCAACTTATAGCTCCAGAGATGGACTGGAAGGTGGAGATGTTCTTAACCATTTTGATCTTCTGTACCTTACAGGATCTCACTGCTTGGGGTTTCTTCTATCCTATAGATTACTTCTGCATAGCCTAATTCAAATGTGCTGAATTAGTGGTTACATTTGAGAAAATACAAGTTGGTTAAATGGAAGCTCATCAAGTGTGCCATTTTTTCATAACCTTTGTAGAGTCCTCAACTCTTGGTAAACCAGTTGCTTTCAGAAGAGGGGAAATGGTTCAGGCCTCACCCTCAGAGTCTATGGGCTATGGCTGTATTACCATCTCCATTTCACACATGAAGAATGAGCCTGAAAAAAGACTATTTTTTCATCTTGTTTTGCCTGCCAAGGATCGGGCAGGCTTGAGGTTACTGGGCGGCCTATGGTCTTTGCTCTACCACTTTTGGTTCATTTAAACCAACTCCTCTCTTTGGCTAAGTTCCTTGCCCCTGCGCGCAGCAGAGCAGGCCGTAGGCGTCCGTGGGCGTCCTGCGGATGAAGAGAGCTCAAGCCTGGCCACCCCAGCCTGGGGGCGTGTGTGTCCCCAGCCCCCCCTCCACACTGCGGGCCTGCTGGAACCAAGGAGAAGAAGGACCCTCAGACTTCAGCAGACTTTGGGGCGCCAGGTCTTCCTTCAGACAGGGTCAGAACAATGAAAGGTTAGTGGAAGGTAGAGAAGCAAATGGCCGGATTTGTAGGTGAAAGGTGTTGCCTTGACTGGGGCACGGCCACACAGTCTGCCCTGGACCCAGCCAGGAACAAGAGTCAGGAAGGACCAGCCTGGCCCGGTGCCTGGGCTCCCGGCAGGCACCAGCCAGAAAGCGAGTAGGGGAGAGAGGAAAAGAAGAGCTGCCATTCTGGGCAGTACCAGGTGCCAAGGGTCTAGTTACTCCAGAGGTCCCGAGAAGGCAGGGTGGGGAGTGGGAGGGGAAGGCGCTCCTCTCCCGGGGTTGGAAGCAGAGGGCTGTCCCCAAGGGTGGAGAGGGAGGGACCCAGCCGGAAGCAGAGGACAGACAGACAGACAGACAGAGAGACAGAAGACCCATCCTTGGATCCGCTGTGTGCCCCTGGTTTGACGTGGCCACACGTTGGGGCGGCGATCCGCAGTAGTACCAGGGCGATGTGTACCGGGCCGGCGGGGCCTCGGTCGCCCACCTGGGCTCTGCGCGCACGGCCTCGCCTAGCGGCCGCGGCGCGGAGCTCTGCGGGCGCTGAAGTTCCCGAGGAATCAAAGTCTTGGCCCCTGGCCTGCGGACCCCGCCCCGCCCGGGCGCCCGCCGCCCCTCCGGCCGGGGGAGCTGCGGGCTGCGGAGCGGAAGGACCTGCTCGGCGGGCACGGCTTTCCCCCCTCCCAGGCGACGTCGGTCCGATGGGTGTGTCGCGCGGGAGGTGATATTTGAGGGCTGCGCCCGAGCGAGCGGAGCCCAGGCGAGCCGGGCGCGGAGAGGCGAGCGGGCGACGCAGCATGGCCTCCCGGGACCCACCGCCCGCCACCACCTATGCCCCTCCGGACGTGCCCTCGGGGGTCGCCTTCTTCCTCACCATCCCCTTCGCCTTCCAGCTGCCCGAGCTGGTGAGTGCGGCCACCTGCAGGGGAGGGCGGGCCGGGAGGGGGGAGCGATCGGAGGATGGCGCTGCGAGCCCCGGGTGGGAGGCCACAGGGCGGCGCGCCGGGTCGTCCATCGCCCCCCTGGGTCCCTGCGGTGACCCCCAGGGGGAGTCGCCACCCGCGGGCCCCTTGGATACCTTCGGAGAGGTTTTCCAGTGTTTTCTAAATTGTAACCTCAGCTGATTTCGAACTTTGACTCCGCAGAGGGCTTCGGTAGCCCCTGACAGCAGGTGCCTTGAATCCACCTCCAGGGACACTCTGCTTTCCCAGCAACTTGTGTCCAGTGACAGGGACATCCTGTAGACAAACGGGAGGCATCGACCATGCAGGGACTGTCTGGGCTGCGCACCCCGTGTTTCAGAGCGGCTGCCGTCCCCCCTTCCCGAGGGAGGGGACACACCAGTGTATTTTGTTCTCCCCAGGCTGCTTCGGGGATGTCTAGGTTTTTGGGGGGGAGGGGGGAGTAGGAGGAGTTTTCCCTTCCTCCTGGGATTTGAGAGTGCAGCTCCTGACAGGCAGGAAAAGGAAGGCACCGGTGCCCTGGCTAGCACTTGTTACTCTCAGTATCTACTTGGAAGGTGGCCCTCAACAGAGTGAGGTTAGGGAGGCCACCAATACCCACTGGAAAGGGAAGCAAGGCTGGGTGGGTCCAGCGTGGAGGTGGCTCTGGCTGAAACTCCACCCAAAAGGGAAGTTTCTGCCCAGGGCCGCTGCCCCTCCCCAGAAACCACGTTGGAATTGTGCCTGACTGATGACATCTTAGTGCTCTTACACATTCTGTGTGCCAGAACCTGGGTGTGTCTCTTACCTGGAGACACACACTTGGACTGCCACAGTTGGAATTCTCTCTACCACTACTTTGTGTGTGTGTGTGTGTCCGTCCTGGAGGTTTGAACTCAGGGTCTAGGTTCTGTCCCACAGCAGTTTTGCTCAAGGCTAGCACTCTACCACTTGAGCTGCAAATCCACTTCTGCTGGATCTATTTTTGCTGGTTTATTAGAGATAAAAGTCTCATGGACTTTCCTGCCTGGGCTGGCTTTGAACCTCCATCCTCAGATCTCATTCTCATGAGTAATTAGGATTATGGGCAATGCCCAGGTTCTACCACTTTTTTTTTGTTCTACATATGCTTTTTGTCTGTCAAACAAACCAATGGTAGAAAGGAGTCCCGAGGAGTCTGTGTCTTGTCCCAGGGAGAAATAGGAGTGTTTCCATTCCAGTTGGACATGGCACCAGCCAGGAGAAACGATCTGTCCTTGGCAGATGAGGGAGGGACTCAGGCCTGTCCCAGGGACTTAGACCCAGAAGACAGGCTGTATCTCAGACTGGTGCAGATAAAGAAGAGACCAGAGTCCAGGAGAGGACACAAGGCAAGAGGGTGCAAAGATGGAGCTTCCGAATCAGGAGAGCACCCACAAAGGAAAGCATTGTGCAAGGAGTCACCATCGTGTGTTCACTGCTCCTACTAACGGGACTCTGGGGAGGAAATGCTTGCTTCTGTGAACTCCTGGACTTAAGTATTTGGCAGAAATGGAAAACTTACCTTTGGGCCAATTATCTTCATTTTTAACTTTTATTTTTACTTTATTTTAGGTGCATCATAAAGCTACCGTAATAGTACAGAAAGATCTATCACTCAGCTTCCTATAATATCCTCAGCTTCCAGAGTATAGCTCTCTAAATCAGGAAATTAACCTGAATACTGTGCTATTGAGTATTGTATTCAGACTTTGCTCATTTCCCCCCAACTAATATCCTTTTTGTGGTCCAGGATCCTGGCTTGAATCCACGTTACATTTTATTGTTCTATCTTCCTCATTTCCTTTAACCTGGAACCTCCTTCTTGGTCTTGACCCCTGGGATGGAAACCTTTTTCCTACCCAGGGCCATTTGGATTTTTATAGCATCATTCTTGAGCCATGCAAAATTCTCAGTACAGGCAGACAGCCTGAGGCAACCAAGGAGAGGACTCTGTGTCTGTCCTGCAAGTACCAAGTGATCTCAAGTGCCTTCCACATGTTTCCCAGCCCTGTAGAAAATGCACTATGGGCAGTGCCAGTGGTCCACTCCTGTAACCCTAGCTATTCAGAAGTCTGGGATGTAAGGATCGCAGTTCAAAGCCAGCCTGGAGAGGAAAGTTTATGAGACTTATCTCCAATTAACCAGCAAAAAGCTGAAGTGGAGGTGTGGCTCAACTGAAGAATGCCAGCCATGAGCCCAAAAGCCAAGCAAGAATATGAGGCCCTGAGTACCAAAAAGAAGAAGAAGAAAAAAAAGAGCACTAAGCAGTTATTTTTTAGAGTGACCCTCCAATTGGTCTTGTCCAATGTCTCCATGTTGCAACCTTGTGTTGTGTGTGTGTGTGTGTGTGTGTGTGTGTGTGTGTGTGCGTGCGCCATTCCTGGGTCTTGAACTCAAGGCTAGGCACTGTCCTTGAGCTTTTGTGGTCAAGGCTAGCACTCTACCACTTTCAGTCACAGCTCCATTTCCAGCTTTTTAGTAGTTAATTGGAGATAAGTCTTATGGACTTTCCTGCCTCGGCTGGCTTCAAACCGTGATCCTCAGATCTCAGGCTCCTGAGTAGCTAGGATTTCAGGCATGAACCATCAGTGCCCAGCTGCAACCTATTTTTTTAATTCATAAGTAATGCTCATGTGTTGTTGAAAACCTAGAAAATACAGAAATAAATGCTACTCATAGATACACATGTGTCCATATATGGATCTGTATATGCCAAGTCAAGCAGGTTATCCTTTACATGCTAGTCTGCATGTGCCTTCCTAGCCTGTAATCTAGAAACTAGTGTGCTTTACCCAGGGTGGAGATGTGTGGGAAAGGAGGGCAGAAGGTCAAGTGATGTGCCAGTTCTGACTCCATCAGCAAGAGACACATAGGTCTGAGAAGGCAATTGTAGAATCAGCCTAAAGCCACCTCTCCGACACCCCGGTGGCCTGGGTGTCACCTTCTGCTGCCCATTGAGAGCCCCAGGATTCCAGGATAGCTGCTTTTCAGTTTTGGAACTTAAGGCACAAGTCCAAATAGTAGACTGAAAAACCAAGGAGCTTAGGCCAGTTAAGGTGTCCCCTGAAGAGCCAAACCAATCTGAGAACAGATCAGACCAAAAGAGGTGGTACTTTTCCCACAGCTTCCCTAAGGCACAAACTACCTCACAGAGGGAATGAGGAAAGACAAGCCAGCTTCTGGCTCTTTGTGTTTCTTGAGGATGGCAGACCAGGGTGGCTTAGACTCCAAGGAGAACTATGGTTTCTCAACCTTAGCTTTCAAGTCTTCCACATGAAGACTCACAGTTTTAAACTTGTGTGTGTGTGTGTGTGTGTGTGTGTGTGTGTGTGTGTGTGTGTGCTAGTAATGAGGCTTGAACTCAGGGCCCGGATTCTGTCCTTGAGTTTCTTTTGCTCAAGGCTAGAGCTCTACCATTTGAGCCAGAACTCCACCTCCATCTATTTGGTAGTTTATTGGAGATGAGTCTTATAGATATTTCTGCCTGGGTTAGCCCTGAACTGTGATTCTCAGATCTCGGCCTCCTGAGTAGGTAGGATTATAGGTATGAGCCACCAGTGCCAGGTCACAGTCTTAAATGTTTTATCCTGTGATAATGATAGAGTTAGTTAAGGTTTGGGGAGGTCCGTTGTACCTTCCCTGAGCTTCCACACAATAGTGATAGCTTTCCTAACTAGAACACAGTAACAAAACCAAGAAACTGACAAGAGTCAGACAGGTCTCTATCTCTTCATTGTGGTCTTACCTTTGTAGATTTGTATAACCACAACCAAGAACCCCTCTAGCTACACGTTTGGAGTCCCAACCCCTTGTTCCCTCCATTCTCAGTGGACCCCTATAAATATTGAACAACTGTAATTCCTTACTTATTTCAAGAAAGTTACATAAATAAATGGAATCCTGCAGTATGAGACTTTGGGGACTGGCTTCTATTCAGCATCATATTCTTAAAATCCATCCAAGCCATCGCTTGTGTCAATAGTCCATTCCTTTTTATTGCTCATAATATTCCATGGTACAGATTTAGCATAATCTAACCAGTCATCTATTGGATGTTCCCAGTTGTTAGCTGTTCCAAATAAAGCTGCTGTGAGCATTTGTGTACAGACTGCTTGTAGGGGTGTAATTTTTACTTTTATGGAGAAAATTCCTAAGTGGAATGGGTGTCTACCTAGTTTTTATTAAGAAACTGACAACTCTTTTCCAGGGTAGCTAGAAATCGTTTTTGCATTTTGCATGCTCCAGCGAGGCATAAGCCTTTAAGAATAACATTGATGTTTCACTCAAGGTTCTCTTTTATTTGGATTTCTCATTTAAAACTATTAATTTGAAAACAGTCTCCAACTGTGAGACATCCTTGACTCAATGAATCTTAAGGCAAGAACAGACATCTATTTATTTTCTCTCTGGCACCAATTAGTGCCAGTGCTGGGCTGAGCCTGGGGTGGTACGTCAACCAGCCATGCTTCACTCTTCAGAGCCAGCCAGCTTTGCTGAGTGGCTGGGGTCACCACGGTGACTGGCCTGGGAGACGTGGATTCCTAGGCTTCATGGCAAGCTGCAAGGAGGAAGATGGGATCTCACATCTGTGACTAGCCCCAACAAAGCTCTTCATGAATAAGTTCAAGACATCTTCTAACTTTTAACCTTTGCACCAGGACACATGTTAGATTTTTACTGGTGACTCACATCTGTAATCCTAGCTGCTCAGGAGACTGAGATCTAAGGATCTTCATTCCACTGAAAGCCAGCACAAGCAGAAAAGTGAAACTTTCATTTTCATTTCCCATAAGCAACCACTCCTTCAAACAATACTTCCCACAGCCTGGGCCTCCACACCACCAGCTGGGCCCCAGAGGAGAAAGAACCTCAGGGCTCCCTGTCCAGAGGGACCTGAAATCATATATTTGGGGCTCTAGAACCTTCTGACCTATTTCTGAGAA